CCAGGTCCCTCTAGAATTAACCCTTTTTTTATAAACATAGCAGTTTCAGAGAAACTGCTATGTTTATAAATGGGTTAATCCAGCCTCTAAAGCCTCTAGTGGCCGTCTCATTGTCAGCAACTAGAGGCGTTTGCGTGCTTCTCACTGTGAAAATTACAGTGAGAAGACGCCAGCGTCCATAGGAAAGCATTATGAATGCTTTCCTATGAGACCGGCTGAATGCGCACGCAGCTCCTGCCGCACATGCGCATTCAGCCGAAGAGGAGGATCGGAGGCGGAGAGGAGGAGGAGAGCTCCCCGCCCGGCGCTGGAAAAAAGGTAAGTTTAACCCCTTTCCTTGCCATCCAGCCCAGCGGGAGAGGGTCCCTGAGGGTGGGGGCACCCCCAGGGCACTATAGTGCCAGGAAAATGAGTATGTTTTCCTGGCACTATAGTGGTCCTTTAATATTAGCTAGTTTCAATACACATATACTATTGCTCCGGCCAGTTTGCAATTTGTAGATGCAGAAGGCATGGATTTAATAGCTTAGCATCATCTGCCTATAGGTTAGTAGCCAATCAGAATTAGCTTTGAATACATACTGGTCAGTTGTTATTTTTTGCTTTGCCCATGTGTTTCTCATGGTTTTCAAGCAATTGCATCTATTATACAAAATATTTTTTTTACAAGTGAAGGTGCACACAGTTTGTCATTTAATATATAAATGTGTCTCTCTGTGCTATGTTATATAAAACACATTGATATGAAGGTATAATTGACCAATCAGAATCTCTGGATGCTTTCAGTCACATGACCTTGCTTGACCATTGTACCTCACAGCTGACTGATGATGTAAAATGATGATGTATCTGGGGTTCATTATCTGTTAGTCCAGTGCTGAGTAGACACTGATTAACAATTATTCCAGTGATAACCACATTGGATCAATTGGACAGAAAACCAGTTTACAAAATGGCAGAAAGTTCAAACCCTGAGAAGCAACATGATTTGCAGTAGGTTTATATAATAGATTGTTTTATATATCACTAGTTAATAATATTGTTAGAAAGTGTCCCCCTTAATGACTAGTTATTACTAATGTGAATAATAATAGGATGGAAAAGGTCCCTGAAATATGCGTACATGAGGCGCATTAACATGATTTGCAGTAGGTTTATATAATAGATTGTTTTATATATCACTATTAAATAATATTGTTAGAAAGTGTCCCCCTTAATGACTAGTTATTATTAATGTGAATAATAATAGGATGGAAAAGGTCCCTGAAATATGCGTACATGAGAGCATTAACATGATTTGCAGTATGTTTATATAATAGATTGTTTTATATATCACTAGTAAATAATATTGTTAGAAAGTGTACCCCTTAACCCCTTAAGGACAGAACTTCAGAAGCCTGTCTTTCACTTAATGACAACAGCATTTTTTCATTTTTTTGCTGTTTGTGTTCAACTGCAATTTGCATTTTACTAATTTATTGCACCGACACATATTATATATATCGTTTTTTAAAGGACAGAAAGGGTTTTAATTTGATGTAACACGTATATATATGTATATATATATATATATATATAGGCTTAATTATTATAAACAAATACAGAAAAATGCAAAAACAAATTGAAATTTTTGTTTTGTTTTTTACAGTTTTTGCAATAATAATGTGTGCCTAATTAGTACAGGTTAAAGAAAGTAATTAACAATAAATTCATTTAGTTGTTCTGATTTACAGAATATATAATGTGCCTGAGATTTTAAGTTTTTTTTTGGTAGTTACAGGTCACAAAGCACAAGGAGTAAAATAAACTTTTAATGTGGAGCGATTTTAGAATTTGGTATGTTTGTCTTGTAAGCTTAATAGCCATAAAAGAAAACAAAATTGCAGCACAAAAGTATATATTTATATAAAGTAGACATTACAGGCTAATTACCTAGGGTTGTTTTGACACTTTCTACGTAGCCACTTCACCGCCAACCTCTGCTAAATATTGGAGTAAAATTTGGGGGTTTTTTGGTTTTTGGCACACAAACTTATAACAAAGAAATTCTCATGGGTATTTTGTAAAGTTGGTGTGTGCTATTCCTGTACAAAGTTTTATTTTGTGTTCAGTTACATCTGAGTAAAATGACACCCCCATTGTATGTCTTTGGCACTATTTCGTGAAGTTACAGTGCCATATAGGAGGCCTGTTCTTTTCAGTATTCACAGTAGAATTTTGAGAGACGGATTTAATGAGCCTATGCTTCCATTTGGGGTATTATAAGAGTTTGATTGTTCAAAAAAGCCCACAAAGGCCTACCATTTGTAAAAGTAGACACTCCAGGGTATCTCATAAGGTGCATATTGTGCCTTAACATGCCCCCATTTTTTCACCAATATATGCTAAAGTATGTGATAAAAAATAATTTTGTGCGTTTTTTACATATGGATTGCATTTTTGCTGGGTATTTTGTATATTTCACATGTGCCACTAAGTTCAAACTCCCCAAATTAAGCTCGGTTAAGTCTTCTGAGTAAAAAGACACCCCCAATGAATGTCTTTGGCACTATTTCGTGAAGCTACAGTGCCATATAGGAGACCAGGCCATATCAGTTTTTACCGAACTTTGAATTTTGATGCTGGGCCTATGTGCAATTTCCAAGCATCTTAGCAGGGTTTAAATTCAAACAACCCCACAAAGGCCTACCATTTCTTAAAGTAGACACCCCAGGGTATTTCAAAAGGTATATTTTGAACCTTAGCGTGGGATAATTTTTCCACTAGCTTGTACCAAGTGTAGTGGTAATAAGTTTTTTTTTTGCCTTTTTGACACACAAAGTGAGTTTGCACAGTATATTTTGCAAACCTTATGTGTGCTACCAGTGTATAATACTTCATATGTTGCTCAGCTATGTCGGCTGAGTACAGCAATACCCCTCTATGTACCTTTGCCAGGTATATGTGGACATTGGAGGGGGGCACATTTGGGACACAGCCATTCCAGTTTTTTTCAAACTTTACATTTTTACGCTGTCCCATTATAGAGTATTTTACCAGGCTATATAATCCAAATACCCCATAAAGCCATACCATTTCTTAAAGAAGACATCCCAGGGTATTTCAAAAGGCATATTTTGAACCTTAGCGTGGGATCATTTTTCCGCTAGCTTGTACCAAGTGTAGTGGTAATAAGTGTTTTTTCTGCCTTTTTGACACACAAAGTGAGTTTGCACAGTATATTTTGCAAACCTTATGTGTGCTACGACTGTAAAATACTTCATATGTTGCTCAGCTATGTCATCTGAGTACAGCAATACCACCGTATGTACCTTTGCCAGGTATATGTGGATGTTGAAGGAGCGCATTTGAGACGCAGCCATTCAGTTTTTTTCTAACTTTGAGGTTTTACGCTGTGTCCATGTTCCAATTTGGAGTAGTTTAGACGGTTGGTTATTGAAACTTCCTGTGTATGTAAGGCAGGTGTCAATTATCAAGTGAAGATGTTGTCCCCCTTGACCTTCATTTGGTCAAGTGAAGGGAGATATAATCTTCACTTAATTCAGGTATTTTTTTTTTATATAGGAGTAGTATTATATATTTTAATGTAATGATATTGTTAGAAAGCTAATTCCTTGGTAACTATTTGTGTGAAAATTGAAAATGTTTTTATAAATGCTGCTATTTATTAAAGAATACACCCTGGGGTAATTCAAAAGGCATATTTTGAACCTTAGCGTGGGATAATTTTTTTCTCTCGTTTGTTCCAGGTGCAGTGGTAATGTATTTTTTTACTTTTTGAAACTTTTTTTACTTTTAAAAACTAATTTTTAAACTTTTGTTTTGCTTATTAATTTTTTTATACTTTTCTAAACTTTCTTAAAACTTTTTTTTTACAGATTTAACATTTTTCTAAGCTTTTTTTTTTACAGTTAACCCCTAACTAGCAGTAAGCAGCACTAACAGTAAATTCCCCATTTTCCCATCCACCCCAGCTAGCAAAATATATAATTATAAAATATTTAAATTAATTAATTAAATAAATTGAACCCCTGAGGGTTAAAAAATAAATAAAAGTGAATCCTCAGTGGTTAAAAAAAATTAGATCACAGTATAATACTGTGATTTGTATTTTGATCACTGTAGGCAGTGAAGGGGTTAATATTTATTTGGACTAGGTAAAGGGGGTGTTTTTTATTTTTTACTTAAACGTTATCAAAACTTTTTGTTTAGCTTAATTTTTAACTTTTTAAAGTTTATTTCAAAACTTTTTTAATGTTAACCCCTAGTTAGCCTAACACCAAATCCCCCAATTCCCTACTAACTTCCATCCACCCCAGCTAGCTAAATATATAATTTTAAAATATTTAAATTAACTAATTAAATAAATGTAACCCCTGAGGGTTAAAAAAAAAAAAAGAATTAACCCTCAGGGGTACAAAAATAAATCAGATGACAGTAAAATGTAATCCCTGCCAATTGATCACTGTGATCAATTGGCAGGGAAGGGGTTAATTTTTAATTAAAATGGGTAAAGGGGGATGGGATTTTAAATAAACTTTATTTATTTTTTTTACATGGGGGCAGGATCATCACGGATCCGTCTCCCTGCACTTCACACAGAACCAGGAAGTGCAGGGAGGCGGAAGGTGAGTATATGCAGCACATGTGCTCACTCTGACAGACTGTCAGAGCGAGCACATGTGCTGGGGCAGCACTATCGGGTGCTCCCGGTCTGCCTCTAATACAGAGGCAGACCGGAGCACCATTAACTCCGCGATTGCCGGTATAGCGGAGATCCGGGGTTAATTTTAACGGGTGACAGACGAGGTCCGTCACTTGTCTTTATGGCAATCCCCTGAGTGACGGACCTTGTCCGTCATTCGTCGTTAAGGGGTTAATGACTAGATATTATTAATGTGAATAATAATAGGATGGAAAAGGTCCCTGAAATATGCGTACATGAGAGCATTAACATGATTTCCTGTGTATGTAAGGCAGGTGTCAATTATCAAGTGAAGATGTTGTCCCCCTTGACCTTCATTTGGTCAAGTGAAGGGAGATATAATCTTCACTTAATTCAGGTATTTTTTTTTTATATAGGAGTAGTATTATATATTTTAATGTAATAATATTGTTAGAAAGCTAATTCCTTGGTAACTATTTGTGTGAAAATTGAAAATGGTTTTTATAAATGCTGCTGTCAGTCCAGATACATTCAACCCATTGTACAGCGCTACGGAATCCGATGGCGCCAAATAAATAATAAAATAATAATAATACAGCAGGTTAAAATCACTGAGTGATACTTTTGTATAGTTATTTATCAATTCATTGTCAATCATTTAATTTGTGATTTTCGATATATTATAACTTCATAACTGCTGGATGCTATCAGAGCTATGCTTATTTTGTAAAGGGACCCTCCACGAACCATAAACACAGTTTCACTTCTTACAATGGGGAGGGGACTAGAGCACTCCTGGCACCATAACCACTTAAGCATACTATAGTGTTCCATCAATGCTAATTTAACAACCTAAAATTTTTTTGCAGTTGTTAATTGAAAATAAACAATGAACACACAGCTCAGCGTCTCTGTGTGTACACCCGTACAAACTGCCCCCAGGGAATTTACCCAGGGGGTAGTGACAGATGTCACACAAAAACTAGTGTACCGGTATGGGACTCCAGAAATCCCAAACGGGGCTTAACCCCAAGTAAACGAAAAAAGTTTTTTCGTGAGATCTGGGTGCTTTACATAGTATAGACCAAGGTGACATGTTTCATTGGGGGTACTCTTGGGGGTACTCCGGGATGTCTATACATAGACAGTATGCCCTTACATAAAATAGTTGACTCCTTTGGATCATCTTTATTTGGTTACCTTCAATTTTAATTTTTCTTTCGTGCGCCCCCTTGCTTCTCGCGTACCCGCCCACCTGATTGTGATGGGCGGGGTAATCTTTAGTTGCAATGGGGGATCGCCGTACACTCTGCATACCTAGTCACGCCCACGACGTGATCCAGCTCGCTTTCCGTCCTGCCGGTCAGACCACGTGACCCGCGGGATACCGGGTCACGTGCCCGGCACTAAGCCCCGCCTCCATGTACATCTCGTGGTCTACCACAACACGGCTGACAGGCTACACATCAGGGAGATTAAACACAGCTGGTCTTCCACACCTCTAGATCTCATTGGTCAAAGGTATTCATGCCTCCTGGCATATTTTTTATATTTAAGAGACTCCTAATCAGTTTCTTGTTGGCCCCTGACGAATGTGCTCCTCTTTAGCACCGAAACGTACGTCGGGCATTTCTCCTCTCATATTATGCATATGAGCACTGGGCACTGGTGGCTGTAGCACCATGATTATTATTTAATACTTATTTCTTTCTTTCTATTTTCTATGCCTGTCTAGTTAGATTTACAGGGAGAGAGGCTTGCTTAATTTTAAATATCAGTCTGCTCTTTAGACTGTTAATACCGACTATATATCACCTTCCATCTCCCTTCTTATCTAAATTAGCTCTATCTTGAGCCTCTGCTATATTAATAATTGACATCTCCTAGTGGGTTATAACGTTGGGGATTTAGCCATTTGATACTTATACCCTTATAGCGTATTATAATAAAGCTGACAATTAGGGTTGAGATATGTTACTAGATGGCAGAATTATATCCCTACCCAAACCCCCCTTGGTTGGCATGGAATTCTAGTCACACCTGTATATACTTTATTTGATTATTATTATATTATTATTATATTTTTTTCTGTTTATGGGTCTCTAGTTACATTTATAGTTTTGTAAGCCAGGACTTTTGGATCACACTCTATCGCTATAGATATTTCCAGATATGTGGCTAGTCTCTAGGACATAGGGAGACTGACTGCATTGTGCAACCCTTGTTGTTACTTGAAAATATGCTATATAGATTAGATTAGGATTCATTTTAACAATTACCTAGTGTTTACAATTGCCAGTCAATGACATCTATTATCTAGGCATCAAATGGCAGCTGAAGGGCGTTTGGCTACCCAAATTCAATTTTTTAAGAAGAAGGTTTGCAAAGTGATAACATCTATTCACAAAAGACCAATTTATTTATTTCAGCCTTACTTAGATTACCATTCGGCTTTGGTTAGTTGTTAAATCAATAAAATCTGTGTATTAATTCACTAATTCGGAAAATACAAATAGCTAAACCACAAATAAATAGCAATGATTTAGATGGTGTGTGACTGAATCTTAGAATTCAATTAAAATTATCTATTTTCCTCTTTCTCTTCTCAGGAAAAGTGATCAACAATTGGAGCAGCGTAAAATCCTGCACTCCAACACCAATGCTTACGAAGTTGTGGGATTCTTGGGCAGCGGAACTTTTGGGCATGTGGTAAAATGTGTAAAGAAAGGAACTGGTGAAAATGTAGCCGTCAAAATCCTTAAAAACCACCCCTTTACTAAAGCACAAGTCAGAGCCGAGATAAACATCCTGGCTCAACTGAATAAAGAAAGCCCAGAAGAATTCAATTTCGTAAAAGCATTTGAGTTTTTCTGTTGCAAGGATTTTTACTGCCTTGTGTTTGAAATGATGGAAATGAGCCTCTTTGAATTCATGGTCCAACGGAAGTATGATCCATTACCTGTGAAATACATCCGCCCCATCGTGCAACAAGTGGGAACAGCGCTTGCAAAGCTGCAGAGTCTGAGAATTATCCATACAGACTTAAAGCCTGCGAACATTATGATGGTGGACACTTCCAGACACCCATTCAAAGTCAAAGTCATCGACTTTGGGAGTGCAATCCACATGAATGGTGCTCAATGGTCAAGTTATTTACAAACAAGATTTTATAGGTGAGAGAAATGTATTAGCTATAGTTTACTTTTATGATGAGCTTGTCAGTACTTTAAATTCTTTACACTGACAAAATGAATATAAAGTAAAATGTTTGTTGAATTTGGTCAATGGATATGTCACTCATGAACTCTTTGTAGAACATATAACAAAAGGATTTTGACATATATTATCATGTATGCACAGACTGTTGTAATAGGCTTCTTAAAGTCATTTAAACCCAAGAGATATATCAGAATTTCAACTAAATTCCAGATCAGGATCATACCAGTATATGATGTTCCAAAGTGACATCAAGATGGAGGTGGGCGGGTGGGTGGGCCCCAGAGGTTGTCACCAGTGATGCAAATTCCTCCATTGACAATGCCTGTAGTGGTTAAGCCTGCCCACTGAAATGGTGTGTCACCCTGGTGTCCTTGACAGACAGACAACAGGCTGGACCCCAACAGAGAAGATTGCTGCTGAAGTGCTCTTTGCATGGTCGTATTGCCCACCACACAGTGCAAGCTCATCTAATGATGTGTTTATGTTGTGCTGACTGGGGATTGTTCCCTAGGAACACAAATGGGACGGCAGTAAAGAACCCTAAAATAGGCACTATCCTGCCACAATTTGGACAGTTGGCAGGCCTGCAACATATCAGTAGTTTTTCATTATGATTCTTATTTACTAAAAACAAATCTACTTTAAAGTATTTGCAAATGATTGTAGACTGTCCATGTCTCTCATTATGGTGGGGGAAATGGTATTGAAGAACTCATATGACTAAAACGATAAATACCGGTAAAAGAGACTGCTGCTCCGAAGCAAAACATCTAATAGATTTAAGCCTATATTTCAGTTGATTTATAGCTTTAAATGTGAACTTTTTTACTAACCCTCTTGTTTCTTCGCTATCTCCCCATTGTATAACTTGCAGGTCTCCAGAAATTATACTGGGATTACCATTCCGGGAAGCAATTGACATGTGGTCTTTGGGGTGCATCATGGCGGAGCTGTTCATAGGATTCCCATTATATCCTGGAGCAACTGAATATGATCAGGTGAGTTCAAATCTACTCAATACCTATGTCTAATATTATATTAACATCTCGGTCAGAAATCAAGAATGAATTCACATAGAAAAGTATTGCGTAGGTGTCTTATTTCTTTAACTCATACAAGTCAAAGTGTAATGTAAAATAAAATAGTCAATTTGGCTTGATTTTAAATGGGTTGGAGACAAGATGCCAAATAATGAATCCTCTGGCAGATAAATGGATAAACCTTCTTTGACGCAAGTGTGTCAAGCAACACAATGTGGAGGGAAACAGGTTATATTATATATACATTATAATAACATTGTCGGCCTTTCTTTGTAAAGTTAAATTGATGGTAGTTCACATTAATTTAGGTAATTTTTAAAGTATAATTCCACAAACGTTATTGATCAGTTGTGAAAATACAGTAAATCAGACAGAGCAGAAGCTGATTATACGTGCGTTACAGTTTTAATGGAAGCTGCCAGAACTTTAATGAAGAGTTGTGATCTATTGCTTCCTCTCTGCAGATCCGCTACATCACCGAGACCCAGGGTATGCCACCAGAAATTATGCTCAACCATGGAATGAAGACCAAGTCTTACTTTACCAGTGATAGTGGTTCCGTGAACTTACCATGGAGATTGAAGGTGCAACCTTAAATATCAACCTTTTTTACAGAAACAAATATATATACATTGAACCCATTCAGGACAAAAGGATTAAGCAAATCCTATAGTAAAACCACAGCTCTAGCATGGTGTCTGCTTTGTGTTTAGAGAAACACACCAGGGATGTTATATTATTCATTTTGTTAAACCAAATGAAGCTTCACCCACTAATATTCTGTAATTTTGGAAGTTTAGATATGATAACGCTTAGATCCTCCAATTTTCCTGTTCCTCCAATTTTAACTGATCATGTTCCTGCAATTTTAACTACTATACCCGTTTCTCGGTCAGCTTTTCACCCAATTTAAGAGTAAACTTTTAAACGATTAAGTTAAAAAAGTTAATTGTTAATGGAAAGCTGATGCGTAAGGTATTGTCAAGAAATGTTTATTGGTTTCATACTTCCATGACCTGGAAATTCATTGTGTTACTAAAAAATGTTAAATCAGGTGAGTTTTTCATTCTCAAACCTAATGGAGAATTTTGTTTTACTTCTTCTTTAGACACCCGAACAGTACACACATGAGACTGGTATTCAATCAAAGGAAACCAGATTATATATCTTCAGCTGTCTTAAGAACATGATGCAGGTACAACAGTCTTGGGCCACACAATCGCCCAAAAACAAAAGAATACATCGCAACTTCCGCTAACCCATGTTCTATGATGAGTTTGGATAGGCAGAAAAATTACTTTCAAAATGCCTGGATTGTCAAAATTAATAATGTTAAGGTTATTAATGTCCATGCAGATATATTACAGTTCCGAAAATCACTTCTCTTTAGTACTTTCATGGTTCATGAACAAAGCTAAATACAGAGATATAGTAAACAGGATTTCGGGAAGACTCATTATGGTGAATGGCCTGGTGGTCCAATCTACAATGACTTTTGTCAACCTATACCTCCCCAATAGAAAGCTCCCGAAGTTCTACCCAAATATACCAAGCAATGGGAAAAGGACCTGTTCATTTCCCTAACCACGAAAAACTGGAAAAATGTATTTTCCAACATATTCCACTCCTCCATATGTAATGTTACACATGAAGGATCTGGAGATTCAAACAAATCTCCAGATGGCACTACATACCAACTCAGATACACCACTTTTTCCCTAACACCTCAGCCACATGTTAAAGGTGCAACCTAACAAAAGATTCCCCAGGCCACATATGGTGGTCCTGTCCAAAGTCCAGACATACTGAAGTATAATAGCCTCATACATCCATGTCATCACCAGCATACCCATCTCCAAAACACCTAAAACCTTTATTTTTCTCATTCTCCCACACCCGACCCCTAAACACGCAAGGACGCTGATCATCCACCTCCTCACAGCAGCTAACCTCCTCATCCCCATCAACTGGAAGAAGCCCGCAACCCTTTTGATAAAAGAATGGATCCAAAAAGTTAATAATATTAGACTCATGGAAGAACCCATCTACTCTTTTTTGCACTAATATGCCCAATACATGACCATCTGGAGCCCATGGATGACCTTCTTTAAACAGAACCAGCCCATAGACATGCATTCAGGCCCACACCACCCCCTGGACAACAGGCTATGTTGACACCGGGAGGGGGGGTGGAAGGGAGGAGTCATTTGTCTGACCCCGGAGGCAAAGCACCTTCACTTTTTGATCTAGATAGTGATCCGGATTGTGACTATGTTACTCATGATTATGATTGTTATTGTTATGCATGTTGTTTATATTACTTTGTAACAATCAATATGAGGCGCTACTATGAGAATGATACATAATTCCATGAGTAACAGGCCCTCTTACCATACGAGACAATGCATGGGAATGGCCCACACAGAAGCACGGGACAACATCCAGCAACCACATGTTGTTAAAACACCAACGGGGCTAGAATAATAAAAGCTCCCACATAACACCAGTCAATCTGAAAAGCACCTTGATGATACACGAGCTGTGCTCTATTCACAGTCAAAACCCCGACAAATGACATAATAGGGCATACTCACACAGATTGTCATCCCATGTCCAGAGATACCCTGCTATAACTTTCTCCATGCACCCCCTAAACACTATTAAGTAGACCAAGGCATACTATGACACAATTCCACATATACTCTATATATAGTTTTTATCCTGACATGAAGCCTTGTACCACTGCAATTAAATAAAATAAATTAAAACTCATGTTGTAGGTTGCTAAGCAGGGATAAGCCTTAAATTATTGAAATGTACACATTTAATTTTTGTACCTATCCTTTTTGATTTAATATGTGACCAATTTGTACCTATGACTTGAACCAAAGAAAAAAGAATTTCAGGGTGCAGTTGTGATTGCCTCCCTGGGTCCCAGGTGCCCATGGATTTTACGTCCTGCTGTAAGAATATTTAACACAGTACTATGGCAATCAGGGCAGAACTCGGCCATTTCCCACTAAGTTCTCCTCACACCCGAATCTAAACACAAAAACATATCTATACTGTACTGCCTATACTCCTATACTCCTAATAGGGATCATATGACAATGAAAATATTTTATTTTGCATATTGTTATGAATACCGACCCAACTCAAAAATAGCATCTTCTTATTCATCTTTCTTTCTTAGATGAATGTGCCATCAGAGCGGCGAAGCCCTGAGATCTTTGTGGAGATGAGAGACAGACATCACTGCCTGCATCTGATAAAGAGGATGCTAACTATTGATGGGAGAGACAGGATCACTCCCATGGACACTCTCAGCCATCCTTTTATCAGCATGGCTCATTTCCAGCGATTAACTTGCAGCTCATAGTACGTTATTTTCCTATTACACTTGAGAAGTTGTTTGGGAATGGCTCAGAGAACCTAGGAGACATAATGGACTTAGTGGGATAGTTAATATCAAAGATGGAGAAGAAGGAACCATCACATTAATACATAGAGAATAGAAAGCTAAATATATTCAAGAATATGAAGAATTTATAGAAATTGTATAGGTTACTTCCAGCATTCTATAAGTTAACAATATTCACCATGCTGTATGGTGCATCTATTCAGCCCAAAGCCTTTTATCTACCATTGATGAGCTATGACTTTGGTGTCTCACTATAACCTTTGTAGTATATATCTCCACTTAAAGCTTTACTTTCATCACATTCCATTCTTTCATCTACTTAAAACGTTTGTCAGTTCCTTTTTTTCATATCATTTCATCCCGCTGTCCTTCTCGCTCTTTTTTCAGTGTAAACTCCTGCCGTCAGACCATGGAGATCTGCAAACAGCGGGTGAGTAGTAATGTATATTTTGCAGCAGAATATAGTGTACCATATCTCACATAAAAAATGGTATACGAAACAGAATTGCACTCACAGTTTATAGAGCTTAGGTAGCTCTACCTGAATGTGCAGTACAATCCCCACTTAGGAATATTAGGTGTCTTCTTTATCAAAGTGCTTCTGTGCACAGGGCCTCCAACCAGGTATAGTGGCCCAGCCCACCCAAATCATCAACAAGCCAGTTATATTCCAAGGTTGGGGGGATATCATCCTAGGCCAGTATACCTGATTGGAGGTCCTGCGTACAGAAGCACTTTAATAAAGAAGAAAGAAGTTGTAAGATGTATGCATGTCCAGACATCATGGGAGTTGGACTCCTGCAGTAGCTGAGCATGTTATGTCCCCCCCGCACCCCATCCCTCCATACATTAATGCTCATTATTCATAATCCTAATTATAACATGAATAGCACAGCCATACAACAAGAAACGGCAAGATTTAGCGTTATCTTACTAATCAAATTCTCAGTGAACAAACACCAATATGTATTAATGTCAGAAGATCAAATTCAAGTGTTTATTTTTCTCCCAATTATTATTTTTACTCTGTATACTATATTACAGCAGGAGGAATGTCAGGTGTCCCCAGGAATGGGGACTGAGACTCGGGACGAAGACCATAAAATGCCTATGGAAGAAAAAGAAGGTACAGAGAAGCAGGAAAAAGAATGTCAGGAGAGACTTCTGAAACTAGTGAGTGCTGACTTACAGTGGAACACACAATACTTTCTATGTGTGCCCCCTTAATACACTGTACATTCAGACACTGACTGCATATCACAGAGCACCCTGTGTGCACAATTATAGTGGCTTCTTTCCAACTCTCTCTTTATTAGTGCTATTTTTATTTTGTATGTCTCTACGTATGAAACAGAACACACAATATATCACACATCCTTCCCATGAAAGTTGACAATGTTCAAGGGGCTCGTTAAATGAATAAATTCTGATACTTGTTTTTCTTTTGACGTGCTGCATGCACAGGTCGTAACATTGGCAGACAAGATGGAATTAAACACCGAAACATCTAACATAACAGTGGATGACCCCCGTGGACCATGTGAGATTCCCTCATCAGCACAAATCAAGATCGAAGTCCAGGTAAGGACGGACGCAATGTGGCAGAGCAGGCCTTAAGGTTTGAGGTCACTAGTTATTGACTAGAGCCATAAATTGTACTAAGAAAAGATCCCAGAACCTACATATGGATCAAGTGTTGTTTCTTTAGTTGAACATAAATATAACGAGGGGTCACGCTTGATGATCTCCCCTTACCACCCCCACCAAACGTGTGATAACTACTAGGAGTGTCCACAGCACCCGCCAGCAGACTTTGGCAATTTCCCACATTTTCTAAGGAGGTAAAGTCTTGTTTCCATGCCTTTTTAGCTGATGCAGCAAATGAGATTATTTGCCCCCCAGACTGCTTTGGACATTTTTTTTTGTAGTTTGGGGTCATCCGTGTGTTCCAGATTGTCATCGATAAAATTAGCCCAACTGGCCTAACACAGTAAAGGAGTTTAAGCATGCTTGGGATAGGCATAAGGCTATCCTAGCTATAAGATAAGACTAGGGAGTAATGAAAGTATTTAGAAAATTGGGCAGACTAGATGGGCCGAATGGTTCTTATCTGCCGTCACATTCTATGTTTCTATGTTTCTATGTTTACTGTTGCTTTATTTCTCTGGGCACAACCTATAGAACATCAATATGTAAGATCTCTTGCTCTATCTTACTAAACAACTTCTTACAATTATTCTTACAATTGTCAGTTTGTATTAATGACATATGATCAAATTCAGAGGTTTATTTTCCGTTCAATTCTTATTTTTACTCTGTATACTATATTACAGCAGGAAGTGCATCCGGTATCACCAGGAATGGGGACAGAGACTCAGAATGAAGATCACAAAACGCCTCCGGAAGTAAAAGAAGATCCAGAGAAGCAGGAAAAAGAATATTGTTTGAGGATTCAGAAAATGGTGAGTTCTGACTTACAGTGAAACACTGTATGTGCCATCTTAATACACTGTACATTCAGACACTGACTGCATATCACAGAGCACCCCGTATGTACCAATATAGTGGCTATTTTCTAAATGTCCATTTATCAGTGTTATTTGCATTTTGGATATCTCTCTGGTTAAAATACATACTATATCACACATCCTTTCTATGACAGTTGATACATGACAATGATCAAGGGACTTGGTAAATTAATAAATTGCGATTTTTTTTGTTTTTCTTTTGACGTGCAGTATGCACAAATTGCAACATTAGCAAAGAAGGCTGGCCTAAGAAAGGAAATATCCAACCAAACAGAAGATGAACCCCTGGGAACATGTGAGATCGTTCCACCAGCACAGATTGAGATCGTAGTCCAGGTAAGGATTCACGCAATGTGGCAGATTAGACAATAAGGTTTAGGGTGACTAGAGGCAGAGATTTTTACAAGGGAAATATTTCAGGACTTTATTATACCAGGGAAAGAAACAGGACAATACTCTCCCCAATACATAAAGAAAGATCTTAATTCTATTTAATACTATGGATCATGACTTCCAGTTCTGGGGATAGATTACTTATTTAGAATTAATATTACTTTAATTTGCTTACAGTTTGACCATTGTGGAACTAAGTGTGTGTAATGTATCTCATTCCCATGTGTGTCACTGTGATACACTATACACATTGTAACCACATTCACATAGCATAGCACATTGTGTTGACTTGTTATATCCTGTGTATGTGCTTTCTATTTTATTCCTTTCTTTATAGACAGATCATTGTATAAATACAATGTAGGCTACACACTGTTTCTATCAATGGGCTCCAAAAGGAATGCCTTCTAATATATTTATATTTTTATATGAAGGACATCGTTACTGACATCCAAGAACAGCAAGGTCAAATTGAAATATCGAACTCCGATGAAGGTGAAAGAGTCGAGAAGAAAAAAGAAAAAAGAAAGAAAGGATCCTGCCTGGGACGGTTGTTACGATCCCTGTGCTGCTGCTTCGGTAGGAAATCAAAGAAAGTGAAGGGTGATAACGATGAATAATCAGAAGCAGTCACCAACGAAGTGCATGGACTACGCAGTACTAGCAGTGCCCCAGCTTCCAGACTTTCCTACCCAAAATCAGACCACACTGGAAGACTGCTGAGGAAGTATGCCAGTAGCCCGAAACAAATGGGAACGAGGCTCGAGAAACGACCATGCTGAACTGTTTATCCATCAATGAATGTCATCAATGGAAAAATTTTCAAAAAACATTTGGACAGACCAAACAAGCAGGAAGAAAGGCGCCTAGTGTTACAATATTGCCCAGCCTAATGGCTAAGCCAGGCTTCCCCAAACTCCGGCCCTCCAGATGTTGCTGAACTACAACTCCCATGATTCTATGAATGAAAGAGATAGGCCGAGAATCATGGGAGTTGTAGTTTAGCAACATTTGGAGGGCCAGAGTTTGGGGAAGCCATATCAGCCATTTTTGTAATGCCAATTCTGAGTTGTCAACTAGCTAGAATTATATTATTAAATCACTATAAAATGTTGTACCCTTGGTACCTGGCCCCTTCAAGGCTCCATAACATAAATTATGATTTTAAAGAACGATTGTGGAAGGGTTGTGGTGGCCTGGGTATATAATCCCATATATGGTGGCACTGTATAAAGCTCAAAGCATTCTGGCACCGAATCCCTTTACTGATAAGATAGACCCATCGCTTGAAACACTCTCTCCAGAACTCAGATTATTTAAAAGCTTCACTAGATGGTAAGCTCGTTTGAGCAGGGTCCTCTTCATCCTATTGTTCCTGTCATTTTTTGTAATTGTCCCATTCATTGTTAAATCTACCTCTTCTATAATATTGTAAAGCGCTATGGAATTTGTTGGCGCTATATAAATGCCAATAATAATAATAATAATAATAATAATAAAAACCAAAACAACTAATAAGATAGATATAGTGATCGAAGGCCACATTCTTATTGCAGCCACATCACCCACACCATGTTCTAAGACAGGGATAGGCAACCTTCGGCACTCCAGATGTTATGGACTACATTCCCCATAATGCTCTTACACCCATAATGCTGGCAAAGGAGGTGTAGTCCAAAACATCTGGAATGCCGAAGGTTGCCTATGCCTGTTCTAAGAAGTCAGCTAATATCCCATCTATGGAAGAAGTGCTGCTTTTAGCACTGTATAACAAATATTATAAGATGATGATGTGGCAACCATCACCTCCAAAGATTAACGTGTAATGTTATTGAGACAGATGGGAAAGCGAAGTGAGAAAGGAGTTTCTTCTGTGAGCAGCTCCACGCACCCTACGATACAATGAGTAACAATAGAAATATATATATATTAATGGTAAATATACTCTGTACTACATACTATTCTGGGCAAATTTGATAACTGTTTTCCTGTAACTATGGATGGACCTTTCCACCCCCTTTTATTTTGTTATTTCTTCAACATTCCACACTTTTTTGCATATATTTTATCTATGATTCAATTGTTTTTCATTGTTGTATTTCTGTTTTATATTGTTAATATGTTTTATAAAAATTGTTCAATAAAAAATAATTTGAAAAAATAAATAAATACATAAACAAATAAAAAGTGAGAGAATTTAGTTTTGTAATAATTGTTTTTTTCTCTTTTGCAATTTTGTAGAATGTGACGGCAGATAAGAACCATTCGGCCCGTCTAGTCTGGCCAATTTTCTAAATACTTTAATTAGTTCCTAGCCTTATCTTATAGTTAGGATAGCCTTATGCCTGTCCCACGCATGCTTAAACTCCTTTACTGTGTTAACCTCTACCACTTCAACTGGAAGGCTATTCCATGCATCCACTAACCTCTCAGTAAAGTAATACTTCCTGATATTATTTTTAAACCTTTGCCCCTCTAATTTAAGACTATGTCCTCTTGTTGTGGTAGTTTTTCTTCTTTTAAATATAGTCTCCTCCTTTACTGTGTTGATTCCCTTTATGTATTTAAATGTTTCTATCATATTCCCCCTGTCTCGTCTTTCCTCCAAGCTATACATGTTAAGATCCTTTAACCTTTCCTGGTAAGTTTTATCCTGCAATCCATGAACCAGTTTAGAAGCCCTTCTCTGAACCCTCTCTAAGGTATCAATATCCTTCTGAAGATACGGTCTCCAGTACTGCGTACAATACTCCAAGTGAGGTCTCACCAGTGTTTTGTACAATGGCATGAGCACTTCCCTCTTTCTACTGCTAATACCTCTCCCTATACAACCAAGCATTCTGCTAGCATTTCCTGCTGCTCTATTACATTGTCTAAAACAAAATACTAAAAAGGTGTGGAAATGGTGGCGCTATGTTAACGTTAATATTAAAGTGTTTATGTAGCTGTTGTAAACACTCCGTGGGTACTCCCTAACACCCCACCAAACAAAAGTATTCACCAAAAAAACAAAAAACTTTCAGTCTGATTAGTATTTATACCCTTCAGGCTGTTAGTTTGAGTGCAGCGCTGTATCCGTATGTGAGGTGGATTTTCCTCTATAAAGTGTATGAATACACTTACCCTCTATGTAACACTTGATGTGATGTATACATAAAAAACAGAAAACAAGATACAAATAATCGTGCAATATTGTATATTATAGTTATGTCCAAATTGGTTTGTGAGTTGTAAATATGAATAAACTCACATTTTGTAGAGCCTTTTCCAGATTTAAGGCTTTAAACTTCCAGGTGTCTGTGTCTTTAAGGTAGACCACACAACCTCTTTTTAGTTCGGCGATAGGTATATTCCTCTCCACGTCATATGCAATAGATAGATGTGGAGAAAATAATCTAAGTGCAGTATCTTCAGTAATTAATGTAAACAGAAATAAGGCATATAAATGCTCACCTTCTCAAGAGCCTTTTGGTAACTGGCTCTAAGTGTGTAGACCTAGTGTCAATTTCTGGGGTGACACTCCCCTAACCGGAATCACAGGGCAGGATGCAGCGGAAAGGTAATAAAAGATTTATTACAGAAAAAATTATTAAAAATCTTTCTAGAAAATAATAAAAGTAACAAGTATATAATAAAAACAAATCGAAATATGGTTGGTGGTCAAAGTAATGATCCACTTGTTGCCAAGACGCGTTTCGACAAAAAAAAAGGCTTCCTCAGTCAGCTGTAACTTGCTACTGCTCGTTCTACTCTTTTGTATTTTCTTATTCCCGCCTAAAATCCAATTATCCAATCTGTCATTTTGTGTAGTTCTTCTGATGCTTGCAAGTAGCGAGACGTCATTTCCGGTTTGTCCAGAACTACAAATCCATTGATGCTTTGCGTGATCGTTATTCCGATGTTTCCGGTCTATTCGCATATCAAGAGGATATCGGTATGTTCGTAGTGCTTCACTAGTATAGTCCATATCTGAGTCTATGTTGGACTCAAAGCAAAAAACATGGAAAAAACAAAGATGTGTATGAATGTTCAATATATGAATATATATATACAGTGGGGACAGATTTATATACCGTTATGGTCAATTCACTTTACCACATTACACTTCAGTAACAATGAAGAGGTCTATTTGAGAAAAATATATATCACCTTGTGCATACATATATATTGAATAACGTAAGGAAGGATCTTTTGAAATTACATTCTAATGAAGTTTACTTTGGAATGGCTGATTGCATGATATCGTTCTTTCGTGGGGCATGTTTTCTACAGAAAATCTTGTTCGTTTTTGCAATCAGTTTTATCTGGAGGTTAATCCGGACTTTATTGGAGATCAAACTGTTATCACATTGTTATTATTACTTAATACGATCGAGATGAAGACCTCCAATCTTATATGTAGATATGATATACATATAATTCCATATAAAGTGCAAATGAACATCTAAAAACTCATTCTTAATCCCTAACACTATTTAACATAATGTTTAAGATTATACAAAGAAATATAAGAAATATATATGTATAATACATATTAAATATATATTCAGAAAATTTCTATATATTTAAAAGATTTCCTTATTAAATTATCAAAAATGGCTAAAAAGTTGTAAAATTAGAAAATATATGAATATAAAAGTGTAAAAATATAAATTACTTATGTAATGTGTATAAAAAATGTCTTTATTTTTCTTTAGGTGGATTGTAAAATGCACATCCTCAATTCTAAAAAATATATAAAATATATATCCTCAGTTATTAAAAAATGGCACAACTCAAAGCATTTTAATATATAAATTACCCTTTTGGAGAAGCATGTGATCATTTCCTTAATTTTATATTCTTTTTGTCCGCTTGGATCTACAAATTTGGTTATATGTCTCCTAGTGCTTTTTGTGCTTCTGCAGGCTAAACATTGCCCACACCCAAAGAAACCTTCTTTTTGAAAGAAGGAATTGTTTTTTCTCTCTATTTATGATTTCGGACTAATTTTTGTTTTAAATTTGGGGGCTTCCCTATAGATAAGTCTAGGTTTATCTGGTAAAATAGAGTATAGCATAGGATCGTTCCTTAATATGGGCCAGTATTTATTTATTATTTGTTTTATTTTATGGCTTTCTTGATTAAAATTGCAAATGAAAGATAACGTGTTGTTCTCGTTTTTTATCTTTGGATTATATTTTAAAAGGGAAGATTTGTCCATGGTTTCCACTGCCTGTATGATTTTTAAAAGGGGATTCTCCTCATATCCCTTTTCAATAAATTGGTTTTTAATCCTCGTTACTTGAGTTTGAAAGATATTTATGTCAGTACAGTTTCTTCGGATTCTAAGGAGTTGGGCCTTTGGGATATTATTTAACCATGGGGAGAAATGGCAACTATTCAAATAAATGTAGTTGTTAACATCCACTGGTTTGAAAAAAAGTTTTTGTTTTGATGTAGTTATCCTCTATATAGATAATTAAGTCTAAAAAGTTGACATTCGCCTTACTGTATTCTGTGGTGAGTATTATACCCCAATCATTGGTATTTAAAAAGGTTAAAAAAATCTTCTAATTTTTCGACTGTGCCATTCCAGATAAAAAGATGTAATCTATGTACAGCTTATAGTAGACCAGGTTCGCTTCCCAGTCCATGTTATGGATGATGAATTGGTGTTCCCAGAATGCCATAAAAAGGTTCGCATAGCTGGGAGCAAACCTGGTCCCCATAGCGGTAACTACTTTCTGTAAAAATAATTCATTGTTAAACACATTTACAAACAGAAACACACCAAAACATACTGTCATATAAACACTAACACATACACACACACACACACAGACACACACTGACACAGATACACTCCTTGATACACACACT